GCTTCCTGCTGGGGATTACAAGTGAGTGGGACGCGTCTCAGGACACCTCCACTTGCACCGTGTCTTCACGCCCGGGGAGTTTTCCCTGAGTCCGGATTTCAGAGCGGGATCATCAGATATCGCAAGAGAAACCGGTCACCCCCCCCCTCTTCTTCCCCCCCAGCCAATAAACCCTTCCCTCGTCCCCTTACTCCCTGATTTTTACCCCTCACCCACATGGCTTACACAGACTCCCTGTTTGGCTTTTTAACTAGCCCTCCACGGACCCACATTCGCCTCTGGTTATCTTTCTGCTTAGAGATCAATAAATCTCTATTGAAACTCTTACATCTATCTATCTATCTATCTATCTATCCCCACACCCCCTATCTATCTATCTATCTATCTATCCCCATACCCCCCCATCTATCTATCTATCTATCTATCTATCTATCTATCTATCTATCTATCTATCTATCCCCACACCCCCCCTATCTATCTATCTATCATTTCCTCCAACCCCTCTCTATTTCCATGTACCAGAGCAGTAGCCATGTTAGTCTGTATCCATAAAAACAACTAGGAGTCCTGGCGCACCATAAAGACGAACAGATTTATTGGGGCATCACTTTTGTGGGCAAACCCTCACTTTGTCAGATCTGAGGAGGTGAGGGTTTGCCCAGGAAAATTTTTCTCCTTGTGTGTCCATAAACATCCCCCTGTCTGTCCATCTACCACCTGACACATCTGTCTGACCCTCACTCTCCTATATCCTTCTATCTCTCTCTCCCAGATATTCCGTCACTCTGTCTTTGGCTTCCGTTTCTCATCCGTTTCTCAGCTCCTGCTGTGCAGATTTCAATGTACCTGTCCACCTCCGTCCTGCGAGGTACCACGCACCTGCTGCAGTGCGTTATCTGCATGGATTTCAGAGGGTGTGGATGGCTCTCGCTATTTCTTAGGAGGTTCTGACTTACACAGAGGAAAAGGCTGTCTGTACAAAAGGAACTGAATGGAGATTAGACAGTCTTATCAATTCGGAAGGGATGGGTAACCAAGAGTCCAACTTTATCCACCTACTTAATTCTCCACCTTAGTTTTCCAAAGGTAGTGGTGTCCAGTGGTTATAACACTAGTTGGTTATCTGGTTTCTAGGCTAGACTTGATGTCTATGCTCACGGCCTTCTTGTAGTGTCGCAAGGAAGGCAAATTTGGCCAGCTTTTTGAAGACATTTTGGTGCCCTGTCGGATTTTCGAAAGCACCAACCACCTGTTGAGTTTTGGTTACCTGGATACTTTCGAAAATCCCATTTTGCCCCTAAATCCGTTTAACGATCTGGCGCTGGATGCTTTCCTTGAAAGTATCTTTCTGCCAAACAGAATTACTGGAGGTTCACCAGGGATATTCTTTGGAATGGGCTGTAGTCAATTGGAATGGGAGGGTCTAAACATCTCTTTTGGCCTGTAAATCTATGAATCGATGAAAGAAAGACGTTGAGGACAGACTCTGTAAATAGAAGTAGCTTGAGTTTCCTTGGGCACTGAATTTGTAAGGAATCCAAGGGAGGGAAACCACCACATTGTTCTGCAGACTCAGCCACTAATCCGTACTTTTGGTCAATGCCTAGTTGCATCACATGGACGATGGGGAAGAAAGAAGGGGAAAATCAAACGTCCATCGTGGAATTCATCCTGCTGGGATTCGGGGATCTTCCTGGGTTGCAAATCCTGCTCTTCTCACTGTTTCTAGGGGTCTACATCGTCACGATGGCGGCGAACTCTCTCATTGTAGCATTAGTGGTGGCCGATCGGGACCTTCATACCCCCATGTACTTCTTCTTGGGGAATTTATCCTGCTTGGAGATCTGCTACACCTCCACCATCCTGCCCAGGCTACTGGGAAGTTTCCTGACTGGGGACAGGACCATTTCTCTGACTGGCTGCATGGTTCAGTTTTATTGGTTCGGTTTCTTAGCAACTGCCGAATGTTACCTATTGGCTGTGATGTCCTATGATCGGTACTTGGCGATCTGCAAACCGTTGCACTATGGAAATGTTATGACTGGCAGGTTCTGCTTGCAACTAGCAAGTGGATCGTGGCTAGGTTCTCTCCTAGTCCTTGCCATACTGATATCGTTTATGTCACTATTGGCCTTCTGTGGCCCGAATGAAATTGATCATTTCTTTTGTGACCTCACCCCTGTCATTCAACTCTCCTGCACCGACACGGGTCTGGTGACCAGGACAACTCTCATCTTCTCCTCCATCAACATCCTTCTCCCATTTCTGTTGACCCTGGCCTCTTACGTTTGCATCATCTCTACCATCCTGAGAATCCCTTCCACTGCGGGGAAGCAAAAGGCCTTTTCCACCTGCTCCTCCCACCTCACCGTGGTTACAGTTTTCTATGGGACCCTAATAACTGTCTACATGTTACCCAACACCGGGGCACTCAGAGCACCAAGCAAAGTGTTTTCCGTCTTCTACACCATCCTGACCCCCCTGATCAACCCCCTCGTCTACAGCCTGAGAAACCAAGACGTGAAGCAGGCCATTCAGAGGGCTCTGCAGAAATGTCAGGTATTTCCAGGAACTCAGGGGATTTGATTGAAACAGAAATAAATTTATTCTCCAGTGGGAAAGGAAATATCTTGATGGCCCATGCGCTCATCAGTCAAAATGTTCTGAGTTACAGGAAAAAAAAATTTATGGAGGAAATTCAAGTTGCAGTGGGGGAGGTCTAGGTTGAATATTAGGAAAAACGATTTCCCTAGGAGGTTGGGGAAGCAGTAGGATGTGTTCCCTAGGGAGGTGGTGGAATCTCCATGGTATCATCTCCACATGTGGAAAGGGTGAACCCTCCTCAGTTCTCTTAACTGAGAACTCCTGCATATAGTGTCATCAAATCATAGAAGAGAAGGGTTGAAAGAGACCCCAGGAGGTCATCAAGTCCAACCCCCTGCTCAAAGCAGGAAAAACCCCAACCAAACCATTCCAGACATGGCTTTGTCAAGGCTGGCCTTAAAAACCATTAAGGACAGGGATTTCGCCACCTCCCTAAGCAACCTATCCCAGTACTTCACCACCTTCCTAGTGAAATAATTTATCCAACCTAGGCCTCCCGCACTGCAACTTGAGACCATTGCTCCTTGTTCTACCATCTGCCCCCACTAAAAACAGCCTCCCTCCATCCCCTTTTAAACCTCTCTTCAGAGAGATGAAGGCTGTTCTCAACCCTCGCACCCTCTCCACACATACACACTTCTCTTCTTCAGTCTAAAGAACCCCAAATCCCTCAGCCTCTCCTAATAGGTCAAATGCTCCAGCCCCTGAATCATTTTGGTTGCCCTCCGCTAGACCCTCTCCAATGCGTCCACAGCCTTTCCGTAGTGTTGGACCCAGAAACGGAGGCAATTGGAATACGTTGATTCATGAATCACGTATCCATCCAAATGATCCAGATTCCCATCTGTCATTACTTCCTGAGTTATAGGAAGATTATTTTAGACTAGTATTGATTTAGGTAAACAATTGTCAGTCTCCAGAGGAACGTTCATATTTGGTGGGCGATGCCACGTGAAGACCATGGTCCGTACATCAATTTTTTTGAAAAATCTCTTCCTGAGCTCCCCCTTCCTTTGCCTAAATGAAAAACATAGTCAAGCGCATGATGGAGAATGAAAGGGTTAATGTTTTGTTCCAGATATTATTTCACTGGATGGGAAGGATTTTCATTTTGCAAGGAAATAGAGGGGAACTTGAGGATGGCATATAACCCTTGTGTTAACGGAAATTATTTTTGAAGGTGGGTTTGGTAGCAAAGCAACCAACTGTTGTTGAAAGTTTGACTACATTTATTAGACTGCCTTGAAAATCTCAGAGGGAAATATTGGAAGGGAAAACTGGTTTGGGAGCAGGGACTTGTGGGAAAAGGTGGGGCAGGGGTGAGGCATTGGAGGAAAAGGGACCACAGAGGTCTGAAGTCATGGTTCATATACAGGTCAACCCTTCACTTTAAGGAATTTCTACCCCTTCTGTCACCACTTCCTACACATGGAAAACCACAGCTGCTGTATATGAAGCTGAAATGGACAAGAAAATTCCTCTTCATGTTAAGTTCTGTTCCTTTTGATTATTTCAGATGGTTTTGTTGTACTTTATAAAAATTGTATGGTGAGTCTATGGCTTGTGAGAGAAACCGCGCAATTAGAAAATAGTTGAAGTAGTACAATTAGTTTCCCACGGGTGAGCCTGCGTAGCGTCAGGGTCTGATGCAGTGTGATCGTTATAAAGGTACAGTGTTGCAGAATGAATAGCTGCATGAACAATCAGTCTTATTACCCTAAATGCACACCCAGTGTCACCCAGTCCCTAACAGCCGTGAAAAGTCCAGGAGCGTCACAATCAATTCCTGTGGCACCTTGCTAAAGTGCTCTTCCAAGCCTTCCTGTGCTCTTCTGCATGCCCATGTGTCCAGCCATTCCAACTAAGCACACCAGCACGCCACATCTGCCCACCACTTTGAAGCAATTTCCTTTCCCGCCAACACATACATGCCTCACAGATATTGTGCAGGACGTGGCAGGCAGCTGTAGCAATTGGACTATTTTTCTCACTCAGGTCCAATCTTGTGAGCAGACATCACCAGCAACCCTTCAATCTGCCAAAAGGATGTTCGATGTTCATTCTCCACCTGCTGAGCTGGTATTTCAATTTTTCCTTGGTGGCTGTCAAGATGGACACAGGACAGTTTCATGAGCCAGGCAAGCAACAAACGGATTCATGAACAGACAGACAGACAGACTCATAGACAAACAGATACAAAAATCTAAGGTGGCGTCCACACTGCAAGGCTATTTTGGGATACCGGAGGTATCCCGAAATAGCTACCCTGCATCTACAAAGCCACCAGTTACGTTGCCATATTTTTGAAACAACAGGTGTGCTATTTCACCATCCCGGTGAACCACGTTGCACGTAGAATAAGGGATGGTTCAAAATAGCATGTTATTTCAAAATTTGGCACCGTGTAGACACACCAAATTTCAAAATAAGGTATTTCAAAATAAAATTGAAATAAGATATACAATTTCACAAGATCTGCAATTTCGAGTTTGGGGTGCAGTGTAGATACACCCTTAAAGAGAGAGAGAGAGAGAGAGGAAGGATTAGGATATTAGATATCTATATCCTAGGAGAGTGGTGAAGCTCTGGGATGGGTTCCCTAGGGAAGTAGTGGAGTCTCCATCCCTTGAGGTGTTTAAGTCTCGGCTTAACAAAGCCCTGGCCGGGTTGATTTAGTTGGGATTGGTCCTACTTTGGGCAGGGGGCTGGACTTGATGACCTTCTAAGGTCTCTTCCAGCTCTATGGCTCTATGATTCTATGAGATGAGGCCTCCCTATCTTCTAAGGTCTCTTCATAATCACTTCTCTGGATCTGCTGGCAATGCTCCTCCTAATGCACCCCAATATGCCATTAGCCTTCTTGGCTCCCGGGGTGACTCCTAGCTTGCACTTGAAACTCAGACATACTCTGAGCTCAAAACTTTGACCACCAGAGCCGGTCAACACACAATTAGAAAACAGGAACTTCATGAATGATCATTTCACTTTCTGCAGACTACAAGGCTACAACAGATCCCACCAGGCTGTACTCATTTCTCTGGTGCAAGAGCAGCACTCCCCTGTGGGAACACAACCTCATTCAGCAACATACAATGGCAACAGTAGTGGCTGCTCTGTGTCCCTCCATGATCTGTCCCCCATGACATCATCACATTTCCCATTCCCTGCTCTTGAGTTCCTTCCTGTGGCTCTCCAAGCGTGTGGCTCAGCATCCAGGGGGTCACATTCTCCACAGAAGGAAGCCCAGACTGATTTCCACCTCTGCCACCAGCTGTTTGAGAGTCCTGTTTATTGTATTTATGGAGACATACAGACCTCACAGAGCTGGAAGGGACCTTGAGAGGTCATCAAGTCCAGTCCCCTGCCCTCACAGCAAGGTCAAGTACCATCCCTGGCAGATTTGCCCCAGGTACCTAAATGCCCTCACCCAAGGATCAAACTCACAACCATGGGCTCAGCAAACCAATGCTCAAACCACTGAGCTACCCCTTCCCCTGTTGCCCCCTGGTGCTTCTCTTTCCTTATGCATTCAATGATTCATAAGCTGTTGTGTCATGGCCTATGAGATCTCAGGATGGAGAATGGTCTGTTAGAATTAGATGTAATTACAGGTTAGACCTCATTGCTCCAGGACTCTCTGGTCCATCTCTGGTTGCTGGACCAGGGAGCCCCTGGACCAGAAAGCCCTGGGATCCCGGTGACAGCGATTAGAGATGAGAACCTGAAGAGTGTTGGCCATGAAGCCCCGGCAGCACCAGAGGGGCAGAGTTTAGGGGGAGGCAGTGGAGCCCCGGTGGCTTCGGAGCTGCAGACAATCCCCGGCAGAACAGATGAGTCCAGCCAGGTCTGGTGACGGACCCCGGAAGATCCCAGAGTCCCTCATTAGAGAGGCATAACTGAGCACCTCTGGTCCAGCAAACTCCCTCCTACGAGATCAGCCGGGTCCCAAGAGTGCCAGACCAGGGATTTCAAACCTGTATTAATGGCAACTTATTCCCCGCTCTCTTGTGTTCTTCACGCGCTTGCAAGGCCTGGGAGCCAACGACTTCCCTTGCGATGCCAAGGCTGGGGGGTGACACTCTTCTAAGAAGCAGCTCGATGGTAATTGCGCTAACGAGACAATGCTAAGTGATTCCCTTGCGATGCCAAGGCTGGGGGGTGACACTCTTCTAAGAAGCAGCTCGATGGTAATTGCGCTAATGAGACAATGCTAAGTGATCGCCAGCAGGGCGCCCAGGGAAATCCCAGCAGTAGCAGTGGCCGGGGTGGGTGAGGCATCTTCCCCCAATACAGGCTGTAGGAAGGCAGGGCTGGGAACATTCTGCATTTGGGGACAGGAGACTGGCAGGAGAGAGACCCATCCCCACTAAAACATGCCGCTGCCTCCCCAGGAGCAGGGAGGGCAGGACGGCTGGTGAGGCCAGACTCGGACCCCATCGACGGCGAGGGGGCGGCTTCCTGCTGGGGATTACAGGTGAGTGGGACCCATCTCAGGACACCTCCGCTTGCACCGTGTCTTCACGCCCGGGGAGTTTTCCCTGAGTCCGGACTTCAGATCAGGATCATCAGGTATCACGAGAGAGACCGGTGAAAGGCAAAGGAGAGCTGTCTCCCCTCCTCGTCTTGCACACCGGCTAATAGACTCTTCCCTCGCCCCTCCACTCCCTGATTTCTACCTCTCACCCATACCACTTACACAGACTCCCTGTTTGGCTTTTTAACTAGCCCTCCACCGACCCACATTCCCATCTGGTTATCTTTCTGCTTATCGATCTATAAATCTCTATTGAAACTCTTACATCTATGTATCTATCTATCTATCTATCTATCCCCACACCCCCCCTCTATCTATCTATCTATCCCCACACCCCCCTCTATCTATCTATCCCCATACACCCCCCCTCTCTCTGTCTGTCTATCTGACATTTCCTCTAACCGCTCTCTGTTTCCATATACCAGAGCAGTAGCCATGTTAGTCTGTA